GCGCTTCATACCTCATACTATTTTTCATTTGATTTTGATGCTATAGCTCTTGATGAAAATCAATGTTGGGAAGTTTAAAAAATTTTCGTGAAATTTGGAGCAGAGGGTCATTAGTCCTTAAGAGCACATAAGTGAGCTTTAGGTAGGGCCACAATGTGGGATGCAAAGGAATGTAAATAATAAATATAATTAATAAATAATAAAGATACGATTTGTAAACTTGAAATTAAACACCTATGTTGTCTAAATCAGATTCATTTCATTAGGGTAAATTTACAAACAATTCAATTTGTAAGGGACATGTGACTCATGTGGGTGTTGTTGCCTATGGGCTCATTGTACATGTATTTGTATCCTAGCTTTCAGATATATTTGAAGGAAGGTACATGCAACAATATTTTATGTCAAATAATAGCAAATGAAGAAAATGTATGCTTACTTTATTGCTATATACTTTATTATGCATTATCAGTATTTTGTTTTCACTAAAAGATATTTCGTTGACAATCATGAAGTACATTTTTCTTCGCTTCGCCTCGGTCAATATTGATATTTTTCTGGTGAATATCAAACCATATTCACCACCGAAAGGCTCCATAATTGTATATTATTAGTGTTGCATCTTCCTCGCTTTCAAATTCAATGAAACAATAATGCAATCTTATAGTTGAAATCAATGAAAAATGCTTTTCTTTTGATAGACAATAGTTAACCATAAGCTTACAATATGCTTAGATACTACATTTTTCCTACACATAGTCTTTTATTATTCCAGATTACTGAGAACATTTTTTTTCCCATGAGAATCTTGATGATTTGGGCACCTAGATTGTATCGAGTAAAACAAAAATATACCGTGCCTAAGAGATGCAAGGCTCAAAAGATGCATCGAAAGAATCAGTAGTCCAATGTCTTTTTATTTCTCATTTGGGTGCTAGTACCTGTATATTAAGCCGACAAAGAAGTGATTATTTACTGAAGATACACAAGCACTGAAAAAAGTTTGCGCAATAATTGCCTGACGCCACGTTCGTCAGGCAGTATAAGGATTAATTTTTTCAAGATTCGAAACTTAGCGATCATTCTTAATGAACTAGATTTTCTGGAAGCTGATTTACAATGGAATTCGTTACCTGCATTTAAACAAATACAGTTTGCAGAAGAAAGAATCATATTACTGATGCAAAATAATGTGTTTAATTCCTTTAGTTTTTTTGCATGCACATGTTTATTCTTTGCGATTCTTTGTACGGGCATGTCCGTGTAATATTTTTTCTGCGTTTCTAAACTACTGGATCAGTCCATTTGCCTTCTACGAAAGGGGTGACCCAATCATTTTTTCGCGCCAAATGTCATATGTAAATTATCTTCGCGCCTTTTTCTTGGATTGTTCTATTGAATGGGTGTGATAACTTCTATGGAAATAAATAACGGTTATTCTTTTAACCTGATTCTTAAGCTTTTTATATTTATTAACAGTAAATTTTATCTCATTTTTAAAAGAACACACTGTATATGGGCAGGCAACACTAAAGCAATGGATTTGCTGATTATTCTTACTATTTATCCCATAAGTGAACTAGTCCAATCATAAACAAACTCCCTCAACCTAGTGAATGGGACATCCCTTCTTGATTCAGTCTGTTTCCCACCTTTTCTTTCAATATTATATTTATTAATAATGTACGTTACAAAGTTAGGTTTTTAAAAAAAGCTTAGAAAGTCAGCCAGTAGCATATTATTTCATTCGTTGTGATGAACAAGGATATTGACAAGAGTAGGTTAGTACCCATAGAGGAATGGGCTTAACTCCCGTAAGGTTCTAAGCAAAGAATCGGCAAAATGAAGAAGACATCATGATCTGTACTAGTTTTCATTTCATATAAAAGCACGGTATTATAATTATGAGAAAGGTCCTGAAATCGATTGAAAAGAAAAACTAAACAATTTAAAACTGCACATATAGATGTATTTTTAAACTCGTTTATAATACTTGTACATGTATATGGTAAGACCATCAGCGCCTGAGTTTCGTCCGGGGGGAGGGGATGTTGGGGGTGTTGTTGGTATCTTGTTTTGCGCTAGCTATAAAGTGTACAGTCCATTTACTTTGAGTTCTAGAGCAGCATTGAAACATTTTTGTCTCAAACACTTCAAGAAAAGGCAGTTAAAACTGTTTATAATTTACTTCGACGTCGAGAACGACGGAAAACAGATCAGTCTATAAAAAGAGGCCGTCTCATCAATCTATCACTGACCAAAAAAGCGCGCCCTCTAGTAAGAGAGTACATGTAATATGAATTTCTTTAGAATCATCTATATAACTATTTTTCCCAAAATTATAATCTACGCTATCGCACTTTGAGTTTCATCCCAACGTAACTTGTCAGCCCGTGGGCTAACTAATAAATGATTGAATAGTGGCATGTCTTAGATATTCGTTAATCTGTAGTATTTGGTTATGAGATTTGAGAAAGTCAATTGTACATCTTGTGTAATGAAGTATCGCAACTATGTCGCTCCTTGATGACGGAAACGTTTAGCACCTCTACTGCTTATACGTTCCATAGATATTGATTGATTAGCCAGGCAAGCTTTTTGAAAAGCTATTACTTGTATCTACCTTAATTTCCATTCATCCATAACAAGGAACCGTGCTCAAATAGTAGAGTGCTCGCTTAGCAAATGCACTCAGATAAGTAATGTTATCAATAATTACGCATTTGGTATTTATGAAATGTTATCTAACTTAAAAAGTTTACATACAGATAGTGAGAACTCAAACCATTTTAATATCAAGGCTCGCTAATTTTTCTTGTATATATTTAGTGTGTTTAAAGAAGTAAGCAAATTTACCTAACATAATTACAGCTTTGAACAACTAATAAAAGATTCATTGATAATGATGATGGACATTTGCATTGAAATAAACTTTTCTAACAACAGAGATTATTCTTCTGGTATCTACACAATGAAAATATTCTGAGCGAATTATTCAGTTACTTTATTCAAGAAGCCGTTTATTTTACCATCCTCTATGAGATCCATATTTATATAACTTAACTGAAGTACTTCGTTGCAAAGTTATCTAGACTTAATGAGAGTGAAAGTGGGAAAATAGTTGTTTTGTACAATAGGGATGAAACAGTCTCGTTTAAAATAAAAAAGTAAAATAAATTAATAGTTGTCGTCTTTGATCTTTGATCTTCAGTAGTCCATCTTACCCTATTTCTATTGCTGAAAACAATATTTTATTTTAGATTTTAAGTCCAACATCGGAATGATTGTAATATTGTAAAAAAATAAATAAATCTGCAATCCCTTTAAAAAGATTTGAAAATTAAAACTGTTGTAAACGTACTTTTTTCTACGGGGTCATAATTATTTCTGTTCAATCTGCTGGTAGAAAATTACATATTTCTTGGAATGTCATAACGTGTCCTTATCACATTTTAAATACGCTGACAAATTTTTAATTGCCTACAGTATTCATCAAATTAATAATATATAACAATATATTTCAATTAATATTAATAACAGTAGAAAAAATAATAAAAAAGAAAAAAAGAAACTTTCTTTGTTCGTACAGCCTAAGAAGAATATTACAACAAAGAAAAATAATATTATAAAGTAATGAAAACTTCATCGAACATTCTTTAAATTGATATTTTATTCGGTTAGGATGCTATTGACACACATCATATTAATAGAATATTTGATATTTGAACCCCGTTTGTCAGTATCATTACAGGTAACATGAGAAGAATTCAAATTTCTCTAACAAGTGTTTAGATCTTTTCTTCTCATTAGATGGCTCCAGGTTTCATTTTTATGCCCCCGGATCGAAAGATCCCGGGGGTATATTGTTTTTGTCCTGTCTGTCTGTTTGTCTGTTTATCTGTTTGTCTGTCTGTCTGTTGTCAACTTTAACGTTGCCCATAACTTTTGATTGGTTGGAGCTATGACTTTCATATTTCACATGTGTATTCCTTGTGACGAGACCTTTCTTTGGGTACCATCATATTTAACCTTTTGACCTTGACCTTGGAGTTTGACCCACTTTTGCAAAATTTTATGAGACTTTAACCTTGGCCATAACTTCTGAACAGTTGGTGCTTGGGGTTTCAAACTTCACATGTGTATTTTTTGTGACAAGGCCTTCCTTTGGATACAAACAACTTTGACCTTGACCTTGGAGTTTGACCTACTTTTGAAAAACTTTAACCTTGGCCATAACTTTTGAACAGTTGGTGCTTGGGGTTTCAAACTTCACATGTGTATCCATTGTGACAAGACTTTCCTCTAGATATCAACCCCTTTGACCTTGACCTAGGAGTTTGACCTACTTTTGGAAAACTTTAACCTTGGCCATAACTTTTGAATGGTTGAAGCTAGGGCTTTCATACTTCACATATGTAATCCTTGTGACAAGACCTTCCTTTGGATACCAACCACTTTGACCCTTTGACCTTGACATAGGAGTTTGACCTACTTTCGAATAACTTTTGAATGGTTGGTGCTAGGGCTTTCATACTTCACATATGTAATCCTTGTGACAAGACCTTCCTTTGGATACCAACCACTTTCACCCTTTGACCTTGACATAGGAGTTTGACCTACTTTTGAAAAACTTTAACCTTGGTCATAACTTTTGAATGGTTGGTGCTAGGGCTTTCATACTTCACATATGTAATCCTTGTGACAAGACCTTCCTTTGGATACCAACCACTTTGACCTTGACCTTGACATTTGACTTTTATTTTTAAAAACTTTAACCAATGCCATACCTTTTGAACAGTTGCAGCTAGGTCTTTCAAATTTCACAGGTATATTCCTATATAGACAAGACCTTTCTTTGGGTATCAACATTTTTTATCTTTTGGCCTGGATTTTGACTTGCATTTGAGAAACTTTAACCTTCGCCATAAGCTGCCATACGGGGGCATCAGCGTTTCACAAACACATCTTGTTTCATTTTAAAATCCTATTATTCCAATATAGACTTAAAATTACATTTCTCGTAATGCCTGAGCCAGAGCATTCCAGAACTCCTCTTTAATTTCTTTATCATATTCCAGATATGTCTGTTCTCTTATTACATCCTTTAGAAATGGTGGCAAGACAACTCCAAGATCTTTGTCCACAAGAACAATTAGTAAAGTTGTTTCCCCTCCTCTATAGATACTCTCCATTCGAGCCATTTGAGCCTCGTATATGCAAAATTCAGATTCCAAAAAAGCTTTACTCAGAAAACAGACCGTATGTTTACTGTTGTGAATAGCATTGGTAATGTTTTCTGCTACGTTAACACCAATTATAAAGTCACGACTGTGTATACAAAATTTAAAATTATTTTCTCTTTCTAACTTCAAAAGGTTTGGTATAAACTCTGTTCTTTCACTTTCAGAGTAAGAAATGAAAGCATCAAATTGATACTCTCTACCTGTATCTAAGATCCTTGAATATCCTTTATAACTTCTCTTACCGGCGTAATACAAATAACGCAGTCTCCATCTATACCTATACATTATGGCAGAAGTAACAAAAATAATTGTGACCAGTAAAATAATGGTCACTATGACTATTGTTGTTGTAAATGATGTACATTCACGCTCTAAAGAAGTGATTATCTGCTCTAAATGGCGCAGTTCAATCTTTTTTCCGTCTGTGAATGTGCAAGTGTAATTCTCTCTGTCAACAAAATGTTTATTTGAAGATTCTTGCATCCATTTGAGGAATTCCATGCTTTGGCATGTACACTGTAATGGATTGTTTGACATCTGGATAGAGAGTTGTTTCTGTCTCGAAGAATCTAAAAAGTCCATTGATTTTGAATCCAACATCACAATTTTATTGGAAGACAAATCTATGCTACGCAATTTTAAGGCAGCTGACAGATCAAAAGTGACACTTTCTATTTCGTTATTACTTATGTTTAGGTGTTCTATATTTGACGTGAATACAAACAAATCTTTATGCAAGTGGGTAATCCAGTTGTAGGAAAGATCCAGTACCTTCAAACCACGTAGGTGATCAAATACATGTTCTGAGGACTGACGCTTTAATTCCTTTCCTAAAAGATTTCTGGATAAGTTCAGAAAAAACAAGTTGGACATATCTTGAAATGGCTGTTTGGTAATATTAGAGCAGAAGTTGTTCGAGACATCAAGGTATTCTAGACGCCAAAGCCCACTAAAATGTTGTATGTCATATATAAGATTTCCCTGAATATGCAGATGTGTTAATGAGTTCCGAGATGTTATTCCGTAATTGGAATTTATCAAAGGAAGATACATTTTCTGATTAGCAATGCTAAGAGATTTTAGCTTCGGGGGTAATTGATAAGAAAAGACCGCTGGTGACTCTTTATATTCCGTTCCCTCCACGGTAAGTTCTTCCTCTTTGTTATCACAGCTGTTTGAAGTATACTTACAGCCTGTTTCATGGTAAGTATCATTTAATGTTTTGTCAATGTCCAACCTTTCTAAATTTGAAAGAAAGTCTCCTTCAAGTAAATAAATCCCGTAAATCAGCGGGTTATCATTCATATTTAAATACTTCAATGTCTTAGGAAGGTGTCTGGTAAGCAGATGTTGAATGATGCCTATTCTATTATTAACCAAGGACAACTCTTTCAAAGAAGTATTTCTAAGATATTTAATGTGGCTTATTCTTAATACCATCGAAAGTCCGTTTGTACATTGAAGCAAATTTGCCTTTAACGTTTGAATGTTTGAATATTGCAGATCATGAGTTATATTGGATAACACGGATATTGTAAGGTCTTGGTTATTTGAAATATCCAGAAATTCGAGATCATTCAATTCTTCAAAGGCTCCTTTTTCTATGTACTTGATATTACAGGTAGATAACTGTAAATGTTTCAATTGTTGGAAAATATTGAATGTGTCATTCTCGATGCTATTCAGAACACAAAGACCACCATATTTTGCAAATGCAAGAACTTGAATCGAATTATTTTTTTCAAATGCGTCCTCAAAGTTATGGCCACCTAATCCGTTTAGTTCGATATGTCTTAATGACGGAAGTCCGTAAAAGCCTTCCTTGGAATACTTCATCTCCTTGATTTTACTTTCAGGAATTTCAGAACAAGTATCCTTCATGAGCAAAGTATCGAGTTTTGTCAGATTCTCAAAAAAGCGTGACGGCCATTTCATATATCTCTGCCATAAACAATTATGTTCAATATTTAGCCATTGTAGATTTTTATACCTTGAAAGACTTGCCTTTTTTGGATTTCGAATATTGTTATCGCTTATATCTAGCCGTACAATCTCTTGTGGCATGTCAGTAGGTATATCAGTAAGACCATTGTTGTTAAGATAAATGCATCTAACATTTTGTTCGAATTTTGGAGAATGAGTAAGGTTAAGCGAGCTGCAATCGACGCTTAGCATCCCTCTTTCGATAAAACATCTGCATTGTGGCTCGGAAGAACAGCTTAATTGTTGTGACTGCTTCAAGAATGCAACAAGAATGTAGAACAATATAGTTGCAACGAAACTCATTTTCTTAATGTAGTACTGCCGTGTCTTGGTCTGCAGAGAAAAAAGAGCAAACTAAACAAACATACAATGCACTAATTTGTTTCAGGTTTGATTGGTAAAAAAAATGAAGATAAAGACTATGGTTGATATTTTTTGCATCCCGTAAGAATTTTTTTCTTTCCTGAACATTGTATTAAGGAGAAAAATGTGGATTCAATATGTATCAATTGTCTAATAATTATTTTATGTTAAAATATATTATTTTAATAGTTCTATCGCACAAAGCGATTTAAAATGCCAGGCTTATTTCACTATTTTAATCTTTTATTTTCTGAAACATAATATTCTCTAGCTTGTATATGAGACATTTTATGACAATAATCGCATGGATTTAAAATCAAAAACTGTATAAAGAGTCATATCCATGTGTTTTACCTGTTTGTAACGCTGCTTCTATGTAATCATCAACAATGCGAACCAGATAAACAGTCCATTTTTGGATATGAATCAGCTATATTTTGGTATTCAGGAATTCATTTTGTATCCTCTTTTACAATCTGTTCATAGGGCTTAATATTAAAATGAAAACAAAACCACTTATCTTTCCGTCCAAAGTCAAGCACCAGCGTTAGAATTTTCTTTTCTTTGTATATACAACCAGGAAGTTCGCATTGATTGAACTCTTTCTTTGTTGAGAAGAAAATAGTGTTGTTAATCATGCAATATCATGTTCTGAATTAAAGAAAAAACCCTTTATATTACGTCAATACGTAATTATCATTCTGTAGGTACAAAGCTGATGTATACAAAGAACAAACTATTATATCTATACAAGGCTTCGTACAGAACGAGTTTTAAATTCTGCATGACCTATGGAATACTCTTTACATCTGCAAATATAAATTGCGGCTATTTCCTTACTAAGTTTCATCCACATGTTAACAGTTAGAATCATTTAAATTAATTCAGTGCTGCACCTCCACACTTTGTACATAAATTTCACACATCTTGTTAATTTCATAAATACATGCTATTTATTTTTTTTTTTACCATTTGACTGTATATTTAAAGTCTGAATTTTTATAGGGATATTTCTCTAAATTATTGAAGCCAGATTAAATGTTTGATTTTCATTTGGTTTGAATATCTGTATATAGGGAGTAGGTTAACCATTTAAACTGTGTTCACGTACATTTCTTTTATCATTGTATATCTGTCAGCAGCTGCATGTATAGAAAAAGGTAATATCCGCAGAAAATTTGTATCAATTTCTTCACAGGGTATGCTTATTATTGGGTAACATTTTACATTAGTCTATAACATATCAATTAATGTAATGTTTGATCATATGGGAATTTTGAATAATTTAAATAAAATATTTGATAATTAATCCGATGAAGTAAACAGACTTTCTTTTCGCAAGCTAACTACCTATTCAAAAAATCAAAGTTTAAATGCTTTGGAAATATATTAACTTTAAAATTCCCCCAAAATTGCAACAAAAGTTTGTTTACAATTTTTCAGAAATTTTCAGAAAATATTATTTTGTTTGTTTTGTACATGGTCATACCAATTCATTGTTTATAATGATTATTATTATCATTAATATTATTATTATCATTTTTTGTATCATATATTAAGTACATTCACACTTTAGCTGTTCCCAAACCTTTGAAGAATTAAATTCTTCAAATGCTGAGTTTTCACCTAAAGAGAAATGCATGTAACATGTAAAAACTATACACATATCCATTACAAAAGCCCAGAAGACCGAAATTCGAATTTCGAATCTCGTATTTCGAAAGTCGAATCTCGAATGAGCCTTCTGGGCTTTCGTAATCCATGATACGATCATGTATGTTTTTTAAATGATAAGAATAGGAAAGGAAAAGATATCAAAAATATCTTTTTATATGCTTTTAGATAATTTCCTTGTCTGTCTCACTTAGCACATTGCTTTGTGGCTTATTTTGTAAATCAACCATGCAATTTATAATAATTTTGTTTCATGATCTTTTTAGAATGGATTCATACCGAAGTACCGTTGGGAATACTTAACACATGCTCTGAATCTTTATTATAGGTTTTAAATGACAAATGATATATTTATCAAGAAAATAATAATATTTAAACTTTTAATTTAAAGTTATAATTGTTATTCGAAATGTTAAAGACTGTGAAGATGTGAATATCTTTGGCATATGGTGTTTTATGAGCCAAATACGTCTAAAGTATAGTTGAAATGTTTTGAGTGAATTTCTGTTTACTGATTATAACATTTTAAATAGAATTAAATTGCTATAGGAATGGTAGATTAAAAAAGAAGATACCGTATAGCCGGGTTTTTTGTGGGACACAAATTTGGCGATTTTAGGTTGCAAGGTATACCATTAATTTTGGCGGATAATATTTTGGTGAATTCAAAACTGTTACCATAAAGTCGCATGTAAAGGCCGCACTCTTGTAATGGATGCACCCCCAAAGTTGTCGCTCTTATTTTAACTGCAAAAGTAATGTAAAGATTTTTTTTTTGAAAGTTCAAATATTTGTATCGTTTTAAAATCGAAAGTAAGACACAAACTTATTTTTTCTTTGCAAATTCAGTTTACATATAAACTATACATTTACATATATTTTAGCCTATTTTGTATTTTATTTGTTCTTTGATCATATGTGACAACTGACAACTGCATAACTCAATAGATTCCTCAGGTTTTTGTTTATAAAAACCTAGTTGATCTTGTGCTGTTTCTGGCAATGGTACTCCTCCAAAAAAATTCTCTTATTCATTAAAGATTTCCTGAAAACCAGTGGCTAGGTTTTTGGCAATTACTGAAGCATAATACTTATTTGCTTTACCTTCAAGGCACCAGCATGCATAAGTCATCCTTGCAGTTTCTGGTGTCCAGTGCTTACCTTGTAGTATCTCATAATTTTTGCTTAAATCCTGTCACACTTTAGACCCCTAGGAGAGTTTCTATCAACCTAATGATTCCGACCTGAATATCTATTCGGCATACGCTGATCTAACATAAAAGACATGAGCAAACAAGGCGTGCGAAATACCTATGGCGCGACAAATATGAGGGTGAAAATATCAAATCTCAATTATATCAAAAATTTCTCTGATATTTCATCTAACATAAAGGTATACGTGATGTAAAATCTCAACTATTTACAAAAATCTCAAAAAGATTAAAATTATTGGTCTATGTGCATACACACCCAAAATAGAGCAAAAAGGAGCATTTTTTCATATAATAAAACAATTTTTCCATATGAAAAGGGTCTTCGCTCCATTTTTTTTCGAAAGTTTATTCTCAAAGTATGCGTAAAAATATACATTTTTTGATAAACGAAAACATGGAGTAAAGACCCACTATACCTTAAGGACATTGGCACGTCAGGAGTTTTCGGAGAAAAAAAGGTTTAATACATGGGTTTTTCACTTATAAAACAGTGATTGAGAGTGATCTCCCGTGTAAAATTCTCTCAGCGGTGAAAACCAATAAAGCGTATGTTACAGAGGTAAACTTCCTTCAACGGGTAGAATCATCTATACAGCAAGAAAGAAAAGTAGTAATGGCTTTGTTGTACGTAGTTTTCAGGGACAAAGAGCCAACAGGTCCCAGAATGCTGGGAACACAGCTCTGTTAAGGCTTCATAAAGGGGGCGGGGCCTAATTTATACGGGAAAAGTTTACTGTGACATCACACAAATATAGCAATTCCTCACAATAACAGAAAATGAAATAATTTGCGAATCTAAACTGCATAAGAGTAATGAACTACATCAAAACTTACCACTGCATTCATTTTTGTCGCTAGTTAGATCCCACACTGCAAGATATAAACAAGTCACTGATCGCAATGCACTTGTCGACATGACGTCATCATGGTAAAGCTTGACGCATTTTATGTGCAGTGAGAGGCGGATCAAGTAATTTTTTCACAGTGAAAAATGCTTATTCTTATTAAACAGAATATTATTTGCAAATCTTAGGTAGACCATTAATACAAATCTGAAACGTTTGTTTAGTGCCATTATTTAAAAAATATCGAGAGAATGTATTGAATTAATTCTACCGTGTTTTTGTCTACAGGGTGTGCATGTTTCACGCCGAGGTGCCTCATTAAATCGCCTTTTCGCAAGGGCATACACTTAATAGATCTTGTCCATTTTTTGAATACACATAACGGACGTATTCCTTAACTTGAAAAGTGCTGCTGCTTTCCTGAAATCGATAGCATAATTTAATAAATACATAAAATACTTGGTAAAGGTCACACATATTTCGACATTAGCCAGATAACTTGAAATTTAAACTAATAAAATGCGAATTCTATTTAAAGCAGCAGCACTTTCCAAAAACTACAAGTTATGTAGAAACAATCTATTACTTTAATTTTTAATTTTAACTAGGGTATGCCCTTGCGATATTGAAATTTGTTTGTGACCTACATACAGTACACATTACATGCATTTATCACGTGACTATCAAATAACGTGACCAAACCAAATTCAGTACAGAGCGGGGTAAACAATGTTATTTCAAAGAATTTTAAAGTCATAAGATAATAAAGTACCTTTACAAAAATAAATTCAGTTTAAAATGGTATGTATTTATGCACATTTATATTCTGTTGATTTCTTTGAAGTACGCCTTAACAGTGCTGCGAAGGGCAAAGATGTGACATCTGAAGGGTAGGCCGAATGAGAAGTTCTTAGGTGTGAAGGTAGCAGCATGTATTAACTACGAATAAAAGTTAAAAATAAATCCATGCCAACATTTTTATCACAATGCGTTTCATCAATTCAGTCAATTACATGACAGAAGCAATGAACCAGTCTCGATACCAATTTCAGTGTTAAGGGAAGCAACTAAAAAATACATAATCGGTACCGGTATATCCATGTCTTGTTTCTATATATACATTTTCAGCCAAAATATCTAGAATTCATAGGAAATAAAGATACAATAATGTATATAATACAAAAACTATATGAAATAAGTAGGATTTGGAGAAATATTACGATGAAAAATTATGTAGGTCCCTTTTATCAATATTCTACATAGGAAATGCATTGAGAATTGTAAAAACACTGATTTGACAAAATCTAAAAAATAAGGTTGTCTTGGTAGGTTAAACAATCCAAATATAGCCTGTTTATCACCTTTAAACCTACCCAAGAGTTCTTGAAAAATTCAATACGATAACCAGAAACCTTGCCAATGTCCTTAAAATAACTCTTTTATGACACAACATTCGTACCTTTCCGAGAAATACTTGAAGTCCATTTAGTCAAGAGTCATATCAAAAAGAGGGTTGTGTAACGTAGTGGTTGACGTGTTAGTCTAAAAGGAAAAATTATTGTATTGATTTTTATTGCTAGGGTTTGAACCCCAAGAATACCACACTATTTTTTCAATAATTGAATGGTTTTTGCTAAAAAAAATTCTGCAGAAAAGTTTGTTTGTCATACTTTCATAAATTACAATAATAAAAAAACTTTTTCTCTAAGTACTAAATTCACAAATTGAATATGATTTTTATATCTCTGAAACTATCTTTAATAGGCATTCTGCACGCCTTGTTCGTCCATCTTCTTTGAGTAGACATTGGTTGAACAAATTCAGGTTGACCTTGCATCATATGAGTTTGATATGATATAGGTTAACTGTGTATTGAATGCCCTTGCATAACCTGATTTGTCATAGAGAGACTTTGCATAAATTGACCCGGGGTATACATGTAGGTCGACCCATGAATGGTTGACCTATGTTATAGACTGACTATACGACGATTGCCCGTGGACAAATTTACCAGATGACACAACTTAATGTACAAGGTTGGCTTTTTACAAGGTGACCAGTTGTTGATAGACTTGAGATAGACTAATCTTTGTTTCTCTTGATAATAATTAATTAAGTTGAGAACCATTGATTTCTGCTTGTTATTTGTCAAATATTTCTATTATTACTTCCAGGTACATGCTGATTTTCTTTCTTAAGACCTAACTTTTGATTTACAATGTCATTCTTAGCATTCAATAATTCTTCCTCTTTACCAAAAAGTTGCTTTCTTGTTCAGATTTTTCATATGTTTAGCTGTAGTTGGGGCAATTTTACTCATTTCATGTTCGACATCAACTTCATCAATTTTTACCACATTTGAGTTTGTTCAAAATCTTATTTTTAGGAACCCCATGCTCTCTTCGACAAATTTTATTGCTATCAAATTTTCAGCTGCGATGTCACCCCGGAAGACTCTAGAATACACGATATTTTGAGCGTTTGCGTCACCAAGTATTGTTTTCATTAACAAAATAAGGGATAAATGAAGAAAAAATATATGGATCATGCTTTAAAGAAATAATCGTATAATTATTGTTGATAATGCAGAAAATTCTTTTTTTTTTCTTGCTTTTAACAATTTACAAAAAAATGAATAAATAGATAAAAAATAAATAACTGTACCATCGTTTTAAAACACTTAATGCGTTTATCTCTTTTTTCCCGTAGTTGCCACATGATATCAAATTCAAAATAAATGTCTATTCTTCCTCTTCATTTAAGTACATATATGAGCTTTAGGGAAATATATCTGTTTGCTTATCACAAAGGTTTTCTTCCTATTTTTTCCAGTTTCAAATATATTACAATAAAATTAAAAAAGGGACTTTTAAAAAAAGCGGAAGCTGAAATTAAATACTTAACAAATCAATAAAATGAATAATTTTATTTGACATAGAAATGTAAAATGGTTAGCTCAGTTGAAAGAGCAGTTGAAAGAGCATTAGACAAAAGATTTTAGGTCCTCCCTTATCCAGCTGACAGGCAACATTTTCCCCTTTCTGTTGTAAGGAGAAAGATATGCAAATCACTAATGTTATCCCTATGATTCTGTGAAAAAGGAATAAAAAAAAAAATAATAATATCATGGCTAGAGATGCAAAACTTAATAGATGAATCAAAAGAATCAGTAGTCCACTTTTGTCTTTATTTTCATTTCGATGTAAGTACGTTCATACTAAAATGATAAGGAAGTAAAAATTGGCTGATGACATACTATACAAGCACAGAAAAAATAGATTGTGCAATAATAGCTACCCTAATTTCTATTCATCCATATTTACTCTATATGTACATTTTACCATCCTTTTTAGATAAATATCAATATAATTTTATTGAAATACTCTATTGCAAAATCAAGTAGTTTTACACTTGGTGAGAATGAAATTACGAGATATATATATATATATATATAAATATAAATATATATATATATATATATATATATATATATATATATATATATATATATATATATATATATATATATATATATATATATATATATATATATATATATATATATATATATATATAGTCCTTCAAAATACGCGCGTCGCCCGCGTGGCACAGTGGTTAGAGCGTTCTCTCTAGAGTCGCTGAGTGAGGAGTTGATCCTTACGTCGCGGGTTCGAATCCTACTGTGGGACTCGAGACCGGTCCTTCGGATGAGACCGTATAAACCGAGGTCCCGTGTCGCAGTAGGTGCTGGCACGAAAAAGATCCCTCACTGCTCAATGGCCCTGACTGCCCAGTATAGGTCAAAATTTGTAGCTCTCCGCCGGCAAGTGGTGGCGTCTCCATATGAATGAAAAATTCTGGAGAGGGACGTTAAACAATAAAAAAACAAACAAACAAAATACGCGCTAGAGAAAATTACTACTTTCTGTTATTTTCAGTGATTTGTCCTACTCTATTTCTCTTACTGATAACAATAAGTTATTTAAGATGTTAAATCCGACATCGGATTGATGCATGTGGAATTGTAAAAACATCTGTTAACCGATTTTGAAGATTTGAAAATTAAAACTATTTAATAAACTAGTTATAATTGTAACGGGGACCGTTACAGATGTTCCCCAAACGCTCCCCAACTCCCTTTTGGTGACTTTTTTCCTGTAAGCTTCATTAAATAAGGCAATGAAGTATATTGGTCATTTTTTGCATTTCACGCGCGCGCACGTGCATGCATGTGCAGGATGACCAAGTCATCCCGTCTATACTATATATGCATCTTTATATTCTCAGTATCAAAACATTTCATCAAAAAATATATAAGTTCCGGCTAAATCAAGCATATTGGTCATCTTAGCATTGCGCGCACGCGCACATGCATGCATGTTCATAATGACCATGCCATTTTGTGTACACTTATAATATGTCTGTTAATTCATAGTATCAAAGCTTTTCATCAAAAAATATAAAAGTTACGGCTATATTAAGTATATTGGTCATTTAACACATTGCACGCGCGCGCATGTGCATGCATGTGCATCATGGCCAAATCATCTTGTCTACACTTTTAATATATATATATATATATATATATATTCTTAATATCAAAGCTTTTCATCAAAAAATATCAAAATTACGGCTATATTAATTATATCAGTCATTTAACACATTGCACGCGCGCACGTGCATGCATATGCTTGCATGTGCATGATGACCATGTCATCTTGTTCACACTTTTAATATATCCTTATATTCTGAGTATCAAAGCATTTCACCAAAAAATATAAAAATTACAGCTATATCAAGTATATTGGTCATTTTACCCATTGCACGCGCACGCACGTGCATGCACGTGCGCGCAAAATGACCTTTGTTCCGCAAATCTACATAACATGCCTATTAACCCTAAAAAGGCTTTAAATCAATTGGATGAGCAGTTTCCGAGAACACTCGCGGACAAAAAAAAAAGTACCGGAGAAGAAATAAGAAGAAAAAAGAATAATAATAATAATAATAATAATAATAATAAGAAACAGAGTAAAAACAATATGTTCCCAAACTCCGTTTGGGGAACATAATTAGGAATTTAATATCCTAATGGGTGTTCAATAGGTTATTATCTGCACAAACTTATGCCATGTCACAAACTTATAATGTTTCTCATACATCCCCATTCCCGCCGATATATGGCTGAAATATTGCCGACTCGGCGTTTAACAATATCAATCAATCAATCATACATCCCCATTCTCTGTTACGTTTGTTCTCCTGAATAATCCTGAATAATCATATAACATATTTAGCAAAGGAATAATTATGAAATCTGGACTAGATATGCAATCGATTTCTTAAATTTTAATGATTTTTCCTTTGTAAATTCTTAATGTTATTCTAAATTTAAATTTACAAAAAAAATCTTGATTTGCAAGTTCGAGTATTTATTCAAAACAGTGAAGATTGTTAACAAAGTACTTAGAGGATGTTTACTAATGATATTCGATCGGAAGTATTATGACGTAGATCATTCAAAGCGAGAGAAGATAAATTTAATAGATATAATAAAAAAAAAACCTATAAAAAGCAAATTATTTGCTTTCTTTACTGATATAGAGGAAAAGAAGCCCACAACAAAGAAAAATGATATAAAGTAATATAATCTTCATACCAATGTTTTAAATTGATATTTTATTGGGTTAGGATGAAATTGATCAACATATCATTTAAAATATCTGATATTTGGACCCCATTTGCCTGTATCATTACATATAACATGACAATTCAAATTTCTTTAATCAGTATTTAGATCCGTTTTCTTTAGATGTCTCCAGGTTTCAATTTTGTTATTTTAAAATCTTAAATATTATCCTTCCAATATACATATAGACTTGACATTTCATTCTCTTAATGCCTGAGTAATAGCATTCCAGAACTTCTCTTTAATTTCTTTTTCATATTCCAGATATGTTTGTTCTCCTGTTACATCCTTCAGAAATTGCTGCAAGACAGCTTCAAGATCTTTGTTTACAAGAACAATAAATAAAGTTGTTTCCCCTCCTCTATAGACACTTTCCAAAGAAAGCTTTACTCAGAAAACAGACAGTACGCTTGCTATTGTGAATAGCATTGGTAATGTTTTCTGCTACGTTAACACCAGTTATAAAGTCACGACTGTGTATACAAAATTTGAAATTATTTTCCCTTTCTAGCTTCAAAGTGTTCGGTATAAACTCTGCCCTTTCACATTCAGAGTAAGAAATAAAAGCATCAAACTGATACTCTCTACCTTTCTCTAAGATTCTTGAATATCCTCTGTAACTTCTCTTACCGGCGTAATATAAATATCGCAGTTTCCATCTATACCTATACATTATGGAAGAGGTAACAAAAATAATTATGACGAGTAACATAGTGGTCCCTATGACTATTGTTGTTGTGAATGACGTACATTCAAGAGTTAATGAAGTGAGTATCTGGTTCAAATTGAGCAGATTTATCTCTTTTCCATCTGTGAATGTGCAAATGAATTCTCTCTGTCAACGAAATGTTTATTTGAAGATTCTTTAATCTATTTCAGGAATTCCATTCTTTGGCATGTACACTGTAATAGGTTGCTCGACATTTGGATAGAGAGTTGTTTCTCCCTAGAAGCATCTAAAAAGTCCATTGATTTTGAATCCAACATCACAATTTTATTGGAAGACAAATCTATACTACGCAATTTTAAAGCAGCTGAGAGATCAAAAGTGACACTTTTTATTTCGTTATTACTTAAGTTTAGGTGCTCAATATTTGACATGAATACAAGCATATCTATATGCAAGCTAGTTATCCAGTTGTAGGACAGATCCAGTACCTTCAAACTATGGAGGTGATCAAATACATGTTTTGAGGACTGACGTTTAACTCCTTTCCTAAAAGATTTCTGGATAAGTTCAGGAATAATAAGTTTGTCATATTTTGAAATGACTGTTTGGTAATATTAGAGCAGAAGTTGTTCGAGAGATCAAGGTATTCTAGACGCCAAAGTCCACTGAAATGTTGTATGTCATATATCAGATTTCCCTGAATATGCAAATGTGTTAATGAATTCCGAGATCTTTTCCGTAATTGGTATCTATCAAAGGAAGGTACATTTTCTGATTAGCGATGCTAAGAGATTTTAGCTTCGGGGGTAATTGATAAGAAAAGACCGCTGGTGACTCTTTATATTCCGTTCCTTCCACGGTAAGTTCTTCCTCTTTGTTATCATAACTGTTTGAACTATACTTACAGCCTGTTTAATGGATAGGATCTTCGTATGTATTGTCAATGTCCAACCTTTCTAGATTTGAAAGAAAGTCTCCTTAGCTTCAAGTAAATAAACCCCGTAGATTAGCGGGTTGTCATTAATATTTATATATTTCAACGTCTTAGGAAGGTGACTAGTAAGCAGATGTTCAATTATGCCTATTCTGTTATTTACCAAGGACAACTCTTTCGAAGAAGTATTTCTTAGATATTTGATATGGTTTATTCTTAATATCAGTGAAAGTCCGTTTGTACATTGAAGCCTATTTGCGATAAGCGTTTGGATTTTTGAAAGTTGCAGATCATGAGTTATATTGGATAACACGGATATTGTTTGGTCTTGGTTGTCTGTAATGTTCAGAAATTCGAGTTAATTTCAATTGTTGAAAGGCTCCTTTCTCTATGTACTTGTTATCACAAGAAGATATTTGTAAATGTTTCAATTGTTGGAAAACATTGATTGTGTCATTCTCGATGCTATTCAGAACACAGAGACCATCAAATATCAAAAATACAAGAATTTAAATAGAATTATTTTTTTCAAATGCGTCCCCAAAGTTATGACCACCTAATCCATTTAGTTTGGTATGCCTTAATTAGGAAAGTCTGTAAAAGCTTTCCTTGGAGTACTTCATCTCCTTGATGAAGGTTTAGCGAGCTGCAATTAAAGCTTAGCATCCCTCTTTCGTAAAAACATCTGCAATGTGGCTCGGAAGAACATCTTAATTGTAATGAAAGCCTCAAGAATGCAAAACAATGTAGAACAACAGAGTTGCAATGAGACTCATTTTTTAATGTAGTACTGCTGATCCTTTGTCTGCAGAGAAAAAAGGGCAAACTAAATAAACATACAATGTACTAATTTGTTTCAGGATTGAGGTAAAAAAATAAAGACCCTTGCTGACATGTTTATGCAGCTGGTAAGAATGGTTTATTTCCTGAACATTGTATTAAGAAAAAAAATGTGGATTCTATGTTTATTAATTGTTATAGAATTAGTTTATGTTAGAATTTATTAATTTTATACTTCTATCGCTCAAAGCGATTTAAAATACCGGGCTGATTTTTAATCTTTTATTATCTGAAACATAATATTTGATAGCTTGTATATGAGACATTCCATGAAAATAATCACAGGGGGAATTTAAAATTAAAAAAAACTGTATAAAGAGTCATATCCATATGTTTTACCTGTTTGCAATGCTGCTTCTATGTAATTATCAAAAATGCGAACAAAATAAACAGTCCATTTTTGGATATGAATCAGCTATATTTTGATATTCAGGAATTCATTTTGTAACATTTTTTACAATCTGTTCACAGGGCTTAATATTAAAATGAAACAAGACTATTTAGCTTTCCTCCCAAAGCCTATCATCAGCGTTAGATATTTTTTTTTACTTTGTATATCCAACCAGGAAGTTCGAATTGATTGAACTGTTTCTTTGTTAAGAAGAAAAAAGTGTTGTTAAACACGAGATATTATGTTCTGAATTAAAGAAAAAACCCTAAAAATTACATCAATACGTAATTATCATTCTGTAGGTACATAGCAGATGTGCACAAACAACAAAAAACATGATATCGATATAAGGCTACCTACGAAAAGAATTCTATATTGTGCATGAGCTGTGGAAGTCTTTACATTTGTATATATAAACTGGAAAAATTCCCTTATTGAGTTTGACAAAGCTTTTTTCAAATAACTCCATATGGTTTAAAATGTCTTTAAAATTTAATATTTTTTGTACATTCCTGTGGGCTGGATAACGTCTTTAAAATTGATTAGAGTTTGTAGTATTCCATCTTAGTTTAATTTAAGAAGTATTTTGTTCCCGATATACATAGAAGTATATACAATGAATATAAATTGAACAGCAGGCAAAAATGGCCTATATTAGTTCTCATCATTAAAGATGTTCCATCTTAATTCATATCGCTTGTAGAATTTCTAGTTGTTCATGGTCAAAGGTTCTGACAGCAGCTGTGACACCATATTAGGTATTAAGAAATTTCCTCTGGCAATGTATATGGATTTTTTGCTGGGGATCACAGACATCTTCAATAAGCACGAGCCATCGGCCATGGAAATCATAAGAACATACATCTCTTTCTGGTCTTCTCAGGTGAAGAACAAGAGGTTGTTCAATTCTAGATAATTTTCAAAGCTTAACAAAATCATTTTCTTGTCTGAACCAGGTGCAATGATTCTGTCAATGTGAACAAACCTTGTGAAACTACTTTGGGATGGTCAAGAAACCGTTGCGGTATCATATATTTTCTACGGTTAATGATTTTCATTTGGTTTGACTAGCTGTATATGCATATATGAAGTCAGTCTTACATTTAAAATGTGTTCACGTACATTTCTTTTATCATTGTACAACTGTCAGCAGTTGCATGTATAGAAAAAGGTAATATCTGCAGGAAATGTACATCATTTCTTCACAGGGTATGCTCACTACATATCAAATTAACTTACAATATATATCACTTAATGTAATAATTTATCATTTAGAAATTTTGAAAAATTGAACATATTTGATAATTTTAAAATCCAGTAAATTGACTTTCTTTTACAATATAACTATCCATTCAAAAATTCCAAGTTTAAATTGCTTTGGAATTGTATTAAGTTTAAAATTCCCCCAAATTTGCAACAAAAGTTTGCTTACAATATTTCAGGAATTTTCTGAATATATTAATTTGTTTTTTTTTTCGTACATGATCATACCATTCCATTGTTCGAAATGATTATTTTTATGTACATAGCATTGTCAATTACATTCATTGTATATTGTATTGTAACTGTTTCCAAACAATTGAAGAATTAAATCATTTCATTGCTGAGTTTGCACCCAAAGACCAAGTGCATGCCATCACATTTGACCTCTTGACCTTGACCTTTGAGTTTGACCCAATTTTGCAAAAAATTATCCAACTGTAACCTTGGCCATAACTTTTGAACAGTTAATGCTAGGGCTCTCAAACTTCATGTGTGTATTTCCAAATGACAAGACTTTTCCATGGATGGTAATATTTTTGACTTTTGACCTCGACATTAGAGTTTGACCCACTTTAAAAAAAAACTTTAATCTTGGCCATAACTTATGAACAGTACAAGGACTCAAATTTCACAGGTGTATTCCTTGTGTCAAGAAATTCCTTGGGATACCAATAATTTTGACCTGTTGACCTTGGAGTTCAACCTTCTTTTAAAAAACTTTAATCTTCGCCATAACGTTTGAAGAGTGGGTGCTTGGGCATTTATATTTTGCATGTGTATTTCTTATGCCAAGGTCTTTAACTGCATACCATTAATTTTGATTCTGACCTTGGAGTTTGACCCACTTTTTAGAAAAAATATTAACCTTGACCATAACCTTTGAATTGGTGCTTGGGATTTCATATTTACAAGATATATCCATTTACACAGGCCCCTTCCTTGGGTAACAACATTTTTGATCTCTTGACCTTGGAATTTAAATTGCATTTGAGAAACTTTAACCTTGGCCTTAAGCTGTCATACGTGAGTGTTTCACAAACACATCTTATTATTTTTGCTTTTGTGTCATATGGCCCCACCATCCAACACGCAACACGTTATGCAACACGCTCCAAAAAGCAATACAATTGTTAGAAATAAAGGATTTAATTTAGGCAACAATAATGGATAAAAAAGTTTTACCCACAATATTACGCTAAAAATCTTTATTGTTCATAATTTGTCGATTTTACAAGCAATACTACGTAATTTTGCTATTTTAAGCTTGTAGAAATTGTAAACCTAGTGCTAGGGTGGGCTAAAAGTAAACCTTAAAAACAAAACTGTAAAAAGCAAAAAATCTCCATTTTAATGGCCTAACTTAGATTTGTTCAAATTACAAACCCTAGAATTAACGGAGTTATGTAAATTTGTTATATGTTTTTCTTGTTCTTTTTAAAATGAAACAAAGTTTTAATTTTCAGCATCAATTAGCAAGCAGGATAAAGGAGTTAAGACGAATATCGTATGCATATGTAAAAACCCTGGGGATATTGTTGGACCAGGATAGTAGTAATAGAAGTGGTAGAGCGCTTGCTTAGCATGTGAGAGGTTCCAGCATCGATACCGGATTCTTGAAACAGAATACAATTGGCACAATTTTTTTATAATGGACTATTTACACCCCTCCTTTCAGTCTGGCTATCTATAAAATACTAGTGGTTTGTATATCAGTTTCATTTATGATTTTTAGTCGATTTATTGGATTTTTTTTGGACAGACATCACTGGTATGAAGCCAGTATGCTTACCATTAGGAACACATATCCCAAGATGGCCATAAACTCGACAGTTGCGAAAGTTAACTTACTTCAGTTAAAATCCAAATGATATGCGTCAAATGTTTTGTGTTTAGGGCCAGCGTACCATGCGTAAAAGATAGCAGTACCTGCTACTTATACATGTAAGTATTCTATTTTGTGTGTCTTTTATCCGAGTTATTCTATCAAGACAGATGTTAAGTCGTTCAGTCATTTGATTTTACCAATATTAGCATAAATTTTAGAGCTACATATGTCATCCTTGCATTTTTAAAATTTGCGTAAATCTGTCAATTATACCAAAAATAAATTGAAACACTGTAGTCCGTAGTAATTTTTTTTCGAAGTGGGAAGGGGGGGGGGCACAAAATTTATTAAGAATCAAAAAGGTTTAAAATTTAATAAGCAATCTTCTTCCCTGTCCTTGAGTTTTAAGTACGTAGTTACGATGAGCAAGGGCGCCTCTTCCATATTGTGAGATTAATGGCCCCTGGGACACGGTTCCTGTTGTAAGGGTGTGACTCTATTGATTATATTGTGAAAATTCATTAATGTTTTGAAATTCCTCTTCTGTGCTCCTGGGCATCTAGGAAGGAAACAGAGTAATAATGGTAATAAGCAAGAGATGTTTATCAGTTTTGTGAAATTCTACATCACTGGGTCAAGTGTTCCGGTGCTGAGCAGGGCTCCATTGATCTTGTAGTGAAATTTGTACTCAACTGATAGAAGTTAAACCCCTTTCCTATTCATCTATTATAATTAATCACTGTAAAAATGTAACTGATACGTCGATTGAATGAAAAAAAAATACAGTAATTTTTAATGTATAATACAAAAAGTACTTTCAAGTTTTAATGATGTAGACTTGTAAATGATAGGTAAATGAGAGATTTGACCAAAGAATTTTATCTTTATACATTAAATGTTCTTCACCGACATAGAGAGGCCAATATGAGAGGGATTTGGTTTACCACAAATGTTAAGCAATCTAGTTTTAAGTTAATACACTTATGTAGATAGTGACAATAGGAAATGTTTTAGCATTGACAAGTAATTAATTCTACTTTGTAATTTGATACTGAGTACTAGACTACCTATTTGTTGATCCCTGATCATCCTATTTCTATTGCTAATGGGTAACATATCTTCATCTATCAGTTTTGTTTTTTTTTTTTTGTATTATATACTTCTATGGATCCTTTACAGTGTAGTGTTGTATTATACTCAGGTAACCTTTAATTCCCTTGAGCCTCTTGTTTATGACACGCGTGTCTGCAGTTGCTCACAAAATGACGTGGTACCTACATCTAATTATCAAGGCACGCACATCATCATATTTTTTATTCATGCGTAAAATATCAGTTATTTTACGTTTATGTATAATTCTGCATGACGCTAAGTATTAAGAATTAATACACCTTCAAAAAATTTAATTCACCAACAGAATTGAGGAATAGATATAAGAAAATATATAGATAAAGTTTTCATTAGTGTATATATATATATATATATATATATATATATATATATATATATATATATATATATATATATATATATATATATATATATATATATACTGAAAGGAAAAAGACACGCAGGGTAACATAATAAGCTAATTCTTTTGACTGTATAACCGAAAATTATGAAAATTGGTCAGAGGGATATCTTGGTTACTGTGCATTAAAATCAGTGGTCAGAACTACTCAACCGTGAAATGTATGACGTCATATAAGGAAAGAGGTAAAAAGCCGAAAACACGTGCATATCGATGACGAAATGTTTTTCACCACATCTTGTAGTACCATTTGCTGCACTTAAGCTATACACATTGTTTTTCGATATTAACAGTCGATCTGCATTTCTTGAAATCAAGGTACGGTTGACGTTAGTACCATGGGGTCTGGCTATTGCATAGCCTAAGTAAGGACAAAGGCAACGACAGGTTTCTGTGCAGTTTGTTGTGAATTTTTCCACAATAGAACGTCTTACCCGTCCTCACAGAGGGCGTAGAAAGGTTTCCAACCAACCGTGACGATGACGTTGACACGTAACAGCGTCATGTCAAGATCGGGCTATTCATCCTGCCACCTTTTTAATCACCATCACACTACCCTAAACTGATATTAATACAGCAGGCTGTCATAATCGTTACATTCACCCCAAAACTGAAGGAAATCGATAGCGCGATTTTGGTTTGTGAGCTCGTCAACTTTACGTAAGTGTTCGTCTAACTCGCACATGCGTGCTTCGTTTGCCTATTTCTTGGGGCATATTAACCCCCCTCCCAATGCTGCCAGGGTTTGTCAAGATTTTCTCGCAAACAATCACATTTATCCACTTAACTGGTCTCTGTCAAGTCCATCTTTTCGCATCAAACGTCTGTGGGACTATGTGGACGATAGGGTTTAAAATGTCCAAGATGGTCTCAATCAACTAAGGGCTGCCTTCTCGGAAGGGTTGAAAAATATCCATGTTAGAAGGATAAACATACTGATGAACTCCATCCATAGGAGAATCAAGGCTGTGATAGATGCGCGAGGGAGACATGTGAGATAATGAGAATTTTCATTTTTCACTTTTCGGGGGTACTCGTGAATTATTGGGGAAAATCAGTTGAGATTTTGGTTACATTTTTATTAAAGATGATTTTAAATGTTAGATAGGATAACTGGAAAATACCTCTGAAATATATAACCTTATTTCACCTAAAAAGTTTACCCTGCGTTTCTTTTTCCTTTTAGTATATATATAGACATCATTAAAGTAGACATTAACCATCTTTCCTATGGTTTTTGTTTTGTTTTGTTTTTGTTGTTGTTGTTTAACGTCCCTCTCGAGAATTGTTCACTCATATGGAGACGCCACCGCTTGCCGGTGGAGAGCTACAAATTTTGACCTATACTCGGCACTGAGGGTCATTGAGCAGTGAGTGATCTTTTTCGTGCCAGCACCTACTGTGACACGGGACCTCGGTTTATACGGTCTCAATCGAAGGACCGGTCTCCACGTCCCACAGTGTGAATCGAACCCGCGACTTAAGGATCACTCCTTACTTCGCGTTTCTAGCGCAAACGCTCTAACCATTGCGCCATGTGGGCGACCCTATGGTTTTTAAAAGAAATAAACTAAAGCAGTGCTGTTTCTGCTGAATTTCTTCATCGACTCTTTTGAATGGGCCAAGAGTGCCTGTTGAATTGAGGTATATAAATTAGTCACATCCACCATAGGTACTGGTAATTTTCACTTCCTCCAATGTATATGGAAATTAAGTGAAATAAAATTTTTCTTCAATTTTAAGGCATACTGTTTTTACGAAATGACAATTACATTTAAAAAGATATGAAGAAAAGAAAACATACACTAAAATCATCTTAATATTATGTCTTGTCGACCTTTCACCTAATTATTATTATATTATTAGTAAGGTCAATGAAGTTTAAACACTCCATATCTTCTTGGAGATTAAAATTTTTATAACTTTATTTAAGTAATTCATTGCTGTATTGCAGATATTGTGAAAGAAGTTATTTTGTATTTTTTTTTTTTAGACAAAACACAGACTCGTGCGTTTCTTTTTTAAAATACAATGATAGTCGCTGTCCTTTTTAAGGGTTCCTTTCACCGCAAGAATCCATTACGACACTCTCTACAAATGGGAGACTGATAGCAGGTTTACTAACGTTTCCATCAAACTGAGAGCGAATGTGACAAAAAAGCGGTTCATATAACCTTGAATGTCTATGTTCTCGATGTATCCTTTTATGCATACTGTGAGAAATCCTTAAATCGAAAGAAAAATAAAAATCACGTATAAAAATGCATTTTCGATTTGATCCCCTCAGACTATTCTCCATTTGCCACGACTAGAATTTCCATAAAACTTCATTATGTTCTTTTCTCAACTTTCAAGAAATCCCAGTGACACACAGTCAAAAAGTATTGAAAATTCCTTCCATCTTGGTACCGGCGGTGTTGATCTACGAATGTAGGAGTTATCGTTCTTTGCTGAGGTATAAAAAGGTTCGTAAAAATTAATCCAATAAAGCAAAGCTAAAAAATTCGGATCATTCTAAAATTTTGGTAATATACCATTTAAAAGCTCAAAGTGGAGTCAATTCCCTTTAAACGCCCAAACACATATCAAACAAAAACACAGCATACTATAGGAAAAACATACCTTATGCTGTCTTCAGTGATTTGTCAAGCCTAATTTAGTTACTGTAAACATTATGTATTTAATGTGATAAATCCGATCAATGGTATAATGTACCGGTATGTAGAATGTAACAACAATTCAACTGCAATCCGCAGTACAATTTAAAATGTATGAATGTCTATGAAACTATTTAACAAATTGGGGAATTCAGATTAAATTTGGTATCTAGTAGATTATCCAAACAAACCCATACCCTTTCACAATAAAAAAAATATCATCTAAAAGATGCAAACAATTTTGATTTTCTTTTGTAAATACGGAGACTTCCTTTCAAAAAGTTGTTCAAATGTATTATGGTTATCCATCCTCGTCCCTCTGTCACACTTAAAAAAATCCAAATTAGAGGTAACAATAACAAAACTAAAATAGAAGAAAAAACAACCAAACAACCAATTCCTGATACACACAAATCATAACAAAAACCTACAGATGTAAGGCAAGTCATTCATCTGTTATGAAACTAATTGCCTGATCTTCCTGTCTGCCTTTGAAATTTCACGTAAAGATATAATTATAGTGTTTTTTTCATAAAAATCATTTCGTCGAAGAACACTTTACTGCAAAAGCATTTGAAAACACGTTTTATATCTAATAAAAATTAAAATGAAATGCTGGCATGCTATTGTTTATAAAGTACAAAGAAGATATTTACACACAATGAAATTCAGAAGTACATAGTTATATTGATGACATCAATCAAAGCAACAAAAACCATGTTAATAAAAAAGGTAAAATAAGAGGAAAATTCAAAGGTAATGAAAAGGCTAATTAACCTAGCCCTCGGAAATTTGAAGTACATGTACATATTGAAAATCTTTCGGATTAGACATTAAAATCTAAGATATGTCCCCGTTGGCACGCTAACGAACCTGAATGTTCAATGGCGCTGACTGCCGAGTTATAGTCTAAATTTGAAACCCTTCATCAGTATCCTTCTCATATGAGTGAAAAAATTTTACAAGGGTCGTTAGGAAAATATCTTACATTTTTATCCTGTTTGCATGTGTCAATAGTATGACTTTTTAAAACTATTTACCAGTATTTAAGATTGCTCCTTCGTTTCCTTAGATGGACCCAGGTGTTCTCTTTTTCGCTTATCAAAGTTTTAAGCCTTATTATTCCATGAAGACTTTGCGTTACATTTCTCTTAATGCCTGAGTCATAGCATTCCAGAACTCCTCTGGAATTTCTTTATCATAATCAAGATAGGTTTGTTCTCTCATCACATCCTTTAGAAATTGAGGGAAAAAAGCTCCAAGATCTTTCTCCACCAGAACAATAAATAAAGTTGTTTCCCCTCCTCTATAAATATTTTCCATTCGAGCCATTTGAGCCTCGTATATGCAAAATTCAGATTCCAAAAAAGCTTTACTCAGAAAACATACAGTACGTTTGCTATTATGAATAGCATTGGTAATATTTTCTGCTATATTAACACCAATTATAAAGTCACGACTGTGTATGCAAAATTTAAAATTATTTTCTCTTTCTAGTTTCAAAAGGTTTGGTATAAACTCTGCCCCTTCAGTTTCAGCGTAAGAAATGAAAGCATCAAATTGATACTCTCTACCTGTATCTAAGATCCTTGAATATCCTTTATAACTTCTCTTACCGGCGTAATACAAATAACGCAGTCTCCATCTATATCTATACATTATCGCACAAGATACAAGAATGATTGTGACCAGTAAAATAATTGTAACGATGACTATTGTTGTTGTAAATGACGTACATTGATGCTCTAAAGAAGCGAGTATGTAGCCTAAATTGCGCATTTCAATTTTTTTTCCATTTGTGAATTCGCATGTATATTTTTCCCGATCAACGAAATTTTTATTAGAAGATGCCTTCATCCATTTTAGGAATTTTTTGCTTTGACATGTACACTGTAAGGGGTTGTTTGATATCTGGATAGAAAGTTGTTTCTCTCTCGAAGCATCTAAAAAATCCATTGCTTTTGAATCCAACATCACAATTTTATTGGAGGATAAATTTATTACACGCAATTTTAAGGCAACTGACAGGTCAAAGGTGACGCTCTCTATTTCATTATTGCTTAAGTCTAGATGTTCTATATTTGAGACGGATGCAAACAAATCTTTATGCAAGACATTTATCCAGTTGTATGACAGATCCAGTACTTTCAAATTATGGAGATGATCAAATACATGCTCTCTTGTTTGACGCTGTAATTCCTTTCCTAAAAGATTTTTGGATAAATTCAGAAATAACAAGTTGGTCATATCTTGAAATGACTGTTTGGTAATGTTGAAGCAGAAGTTATTTGACAGATCAAGGTATTCTAGATGTTGAAGTCCACTAAATTGTTGTATATCATATATCAGATTTCCTTGAACATGCAGATGTGTTAATGAATTCTTTGGCCGAATTCCGTAGTTATTTATCATCAAAGGAACATACATTTTCTTATTAGCCAGGCTAAGAAATTTTAACTTTGGGGGAATTTGAAAAGAAACAAATCGTTTTGAAACTTCATTTAAAGTTCCATCGACATTTATATCTCTCACCTTGTCACAACTGTTAGAGTTATAATTACAACCTATTCTAAGCTTTTTAGCTCTTTCAGTATGATCAATGCTTAATCTTTCTAGATTTGAAAGAAAGTCGCTTTCTAGCACATAGATCCCGAATATAAGCGGGTTATCGTCAATATTTATATATTTTAAAGACTTGGGAAGGTAGTTAGTAAGTAGATGCTCAATGATGCCTATTCTGTTCTCTGCCAAGGACAATTCTTTCAAAGAAGTATTTCTAAGATATTTTATATGGTTTATTCCTAATACCAGAGAAAGTCCGAGTTTACAATGAAGACTATTTGCGATGAGAGTCTGGATTGTTGAATATTGCAAATCATAAGTGATATTGGTTAATACAGATAGCGTAAGGTCTTGGTTTTCTGAAATATCCAGAAATACGAGATCATTGAAGTGTGCAAAAGCTCCACTCTCTATGTGCATGATATTACAGTTAAATAATGTTAGATTTTTCAAACGTTGGAAAACCATGAATGTATCACTCTCGATACTATTCAGAACACATTGACCACCATTATACGTAAATACAAGAACTTGAATGGAATTACTTGCTTCAAATGCTTCCTCAAAGTTATGGCCACCTAATCCATTCAGTTCGATATGGCTTAATGACAAAAGTCCGTAAAAGCATTCTTTGGAGTACTTCATCTCCTTGATCGTATTATCAGATATTTCTGAACAATTATCCTTCATGAGCAGAGTATCAAGTTTTGTCAGGTTCTCGAAAAAGCGTGACGGCCATTCCTTATATTTTTGCCATAAACAATTTCGTTCAACATTTAACCATTGCAAATGCTTGTATCTTGTAAGAACTGCCTTTTCTGGATTTCGGATATTGTTTTCGCTTATATCTAGGCGCACGATCTCTTGTGGCATGTCAGTAGGTATTTCCGTAAGACCATTGTTGTTAAGATAAATGCATCTAACATTCTGATGAAATTTTGGAGAGTGAGCCAGGTTTAGCGAGCTACAGTCCACGCTCAGCATCCCTCTATCGTAATAACATTTGCATTTTGGCTCTGAAGAGCAACTGAATTGTAGCGACTGTCCCAAACATACCAAGTAAATGCAAAACGATAGTGTTGTATCGAGACTCATTTTCTTCTTAAAAATAAACACTGGAGATGTTTGTTCTAAAGATAGAAATAACTTGAGATTAACAAAAGATATAAGATGAATTTTTTTCAGCTCTTAGGTCGAAAAGCACGGCTAGAAATATTTATTTCCAAATTTAAGGATTATATTATAGATCTTCCTCAATCTGAAAGCTATTGAAAAAGGCGAACCTATATAACCAGTACAATCTTTCAAAATGCTTTTACACAGTTTATATCAAAAGGAATATAGAGCATGAATGTAAAAATGTATACATTATTAACACCCCCCCCCCCCCACACACACACACACACTTACTGTTGCCGCTTCAGGCATCGTTTTTGAAGTGGAAGGTCGATTAGAAAAATAATTGACAGATTAACAGAAAAAGATGTGTTCACAAAAAGTGGGAGAACGGCTCCCCTACCCCTCCTGATACTATGTGCACGCGCTAACCGTCACTTACCTGTTTGTAACTGTTTGTTTTGCTGTCTTCAGACAATTACCAACAAGCGCAGCCCGAATGCACCGTCCATTATTTTTAGTTGCATCAGCTATATTACAATATTTTATGTCCTGCTTTAAGCATGTGATAAAGTGATATAATCAAATTATTACATAACCAAATAAATTCTATGTAAACCGAAGTATAACCAATGGTGTTTCAAACTATCAATAAAATAATTATACCACGTCCTATGATAAATATCCTACAATGCATCGTACGGTCATAGTAGCTGAGTTGGTAGAGCGCTCTCTCCGTGTTTGGAAGGTATTGAGTTTGAATCTCGGCTGCGACTGACCTAAGTCGAAAAAAATAGGTAGCTTTGCCAAGCGCTCGGCACGTTGAAGTGAAAGTTTCGGGTCCTTCGGATGAGTCCTTAAAAACCGAGGCCCCGTGTTGGCGCGATAAAGATCCCTCACTGCTGAGTGAAAAATTCTCGAATTGGACGTAAAACAACATAGAATCAGTCAATCAACATACGATGCATCGTGATGTCATATTATTTGCTTTTTGTGATAGAGAAACTATGCATTGTGACATGTTTTACCTCCGGCTCCAGCCAGTATATTTGCATCATGAACCGTTTATATACAAGTAAGCTAAAAAAATTATAAGGCACATTTGATTTGGATCAGCCACAATTGTAAATGGAAAATTTAGCAGATCAGTCACGTATTTTAGCTTACTATTGATATAGGGTTTTCGTGATAAAAGAAAAGGAAATATTTTCCCGAAATTGTGTTTTGGTCCGCTAAAAAATGCTATGAAATATGGCTAGATGTGCCATTTGGTATACAATGTTAAATTTTAAAAATATTCTCAAAAAAATTTCTACGATTTTAAAGCTTTAACCACACCACAGCCAGAAATTACGATTATCTCCCATTCTGGATATACAAAGCTAGAAGCTACCTTTGGACCATGTCTTGAGAATATGGACTCAGCAAAACGAGCAAATTTTGAAAAAAAAAAGTTTTTGATGAAACTTTAGCTATTCTCGTTTGTACTTACCGTATACCTTCGCCTAAATTAGTAAGTTGCTCCGCCTATACGTCGGTTGTATTTTTTAAGGTTATTTTGGAGAGATTTGCCATTGACCCGCTTATGAGTCGGTACAACTTTTTGCCAGAATAGTTGTGTTTTTACCTGTGTTTAAAATAATATTTTAAGAAATGACGCCGATATTCTTTTTTCTCAACAAATAAATTCTATATCAATTCTCTAAGGTATTCACCTTTGTTTAAATAATCTACCAACATTCTGGTGATATTTATGAGAAACTTTATAATTACTTGTACTTTATGCATAATCTTAGAATACGTAAATAATGTATCCAGACTTTTGACAACGATGATCGTTGGAAGAGATTTAAAAAGTACTACATTTCGCATTTCAGAAAAATACCAATCTTTTTATGACTCGCCTATAAGTCGGACATGGAGTTTTGGACCCCTCCCCCCCCCCAAAAAAAAAAAGACTCGTAGACAAGTATTTACGGTATACCAAAGGATAAAAAAAAGTAGCACTTGAGCTTAAAACTTATAAAGAATAATGTTCCTTGGTTTAGTCTCTTTTTGTGGAAAGATTTGTTGCAATCAGACTAAAACTGTAGGAGGAGTAAGCCTTCTCAAATAAATTTTACAGAAATTTCTATTCTCTAGAAACCATAGAAACACCGTTCATGGAAATCAAAAACTGACACTCAGAATTATGTATCTTTGTGTAGTTTACTTTTGCATCGTTATATTGAAATCAGACAAAAAATGTAGAAGGAGTAAAAATTGAAAAATTGTTTACAGACGGACAGACAGAGAATTAGACGGATGGACGGACGACGAACACCTTATTATCGCATAAGCTCTTCTGGTTTCTCACCAGTAGAGCTAAAAATTGAAAGAATTTCCAGGAATAATAAAAAATGAAAAAAGAGGGAAAAAAACCACACACACACAAGCAAACAATATAATTTTATGATTTCCCTACAGTGATTTCTCCAGGAAAAGCTTGCTATATAGTGAGCCATCCCCCAAGCAGCCTGTCCAGATAGTGAGATTTTCCAACAGGAAGACTGGGCATATAGTGAGAGAAGACCATAACAAATATTCGGAAACTTAATTTAAGGGAGATGCATTACTATGAAGGGGAGAAACCTAGCCATATAGTGAGATTTAAACACCACCCCCCCCCCCCCCCGAAGACTGGCTATATAGCCAGGCTTCCGGTAGGAAGACTAACTATAAAGCCAGTCTTCCGGCGAAGTCTCACTTAACAACAACAGGAATAAGCCGTAGGAAAAAAAAGTATGTCTAAAAGATATGAAGCCTGCAATGTCAATAGCGATTTGTGTGAAGTTTTTTTTCTAAATAACACAGATCTTACATTTTTTTTTCTAAAATCATATCTCTCATTAAGAAAGAATATGAAATAACGAATGACCTGTTACGTGTTTCTCATTGAAACACATACTATATATAAATATGTATGAATTTGTTTCATGCAAGATATTCATACATATTTATCCAATTCAAATAGTAATAAATATTCATGTCACCAAGACCTCGGCATATAGCAGGGTCATTTTCAAAACAAACAGGGATCATGAGCTCCACATGCCTGGAACTGGAAACTTAATTGCTATCAAATCTAGTTAATCATGAGAAAAATTGCGTCCTAGAATAACGATTTTGTTTGATTTTGTAAAATTAAATTGTTTTAGAAGAACATGTATACACTGGGTATTAATAGATATCGGGTATTTTATTATCATTTCAACAAATTTTACCAGAACTTTGAATGAAATCAATATGTCATTTTTTTAAATAAATATCAAATAGATTTTTTAAAGAAATTAATCATAAATAATTATATATATGTTGTCGTTATGAATCAATGAAATGCAGATTAATTAATAGATTTTTTTCGGCTGGAGAGGGGTATAAAAATTATTTGAAAGTTTTATATATCCAGTAAGTTAAATGCGAATGGTTCATAATATTCCTTGACTGGCTGAGTTTTTAAATGACAAATTTTTACGATGTGGCACACATTTAGGTACATGTAAATATTGTTATGTGATAGTGTGTGTAGAATCTCTCTCCCCCCCCCCCCCCATTTCTCACGGTTTCTTTATCGTTTGAAATTCTAATGTTATTGTTTTTAAATGTTATTGTATATGAAGTTTTTCAATATAAAAATTCCATTCTGGCCCCATGCCAGAGACTTGGATATGCTTATCCTTGTAAAGCTTTACAGATACACGGTAAAGTAGTTAGGTCCCGGTAATATAAAATGACCCTAGCCCTCTTCCCCGGTCTCTTGCACTGCCACAAAAATAAAAACTTGCAAACATATTCTTAGTCTTTTGTGCAGTATAATTTTAGCATTTAATTTAATTTGTACAATGCATGTTTAAATACAATTTTATCTTAACAAGATTTATTTCAATAAATCTATATAACAAAATTAGCCCGTTTATATAATTCAACGGCAAGTTAAGCTATATCATACTAAACCGACAACTGAGATTATTATTTCAATAAGAAAACGAGTTTTAGATTGATAATAGAACTGTAATGACATACAATGCTGAGATTCTATGAATGACAAGGATTACATATATTTGACTTTTAAGTGACTAAAAACTGCAGATAAAGCTAAAACCTTTGAACTTTTTTATGCACAGCACGAGTACCAAAATCTTATATTTTCGAGTTACTGAAAATAAATAGACAGCAAAAGGAAAAAAAAAGAGATAGAGATTTCTTTTCATAACACGATATTGTTGTGTTTTTGAAAATTCGCCTTTTCATTAAAGTTTCACATTTCACATTGTTTTAATAAAGTGGATTTAATGTAACATGAAATATATGGAGATAACAATTTGTATTAATAAACTGGATTTAATGTAACACGAAATACATGTATATGGAGATAACGAACAGTATTCAAGCTCAAAGGTCCATTAAACAATACCAAATAGGAGCAGAGCAAACACGGACCTCTAAACATCAGAGGTGGGATCAGGTGCCATGGAGGAGTGAGCATCCCCTGCCGACCGGTCACACCCGCCGTGTACTCCTTGTCATGATCGGGAAATAACGGAAAAATCCGTCGACAATTCAGTGTGTAAATAATGGCCTAACAGTATGAAAAACGTCAGTCAGCATTTCTCTCTCTCTTTCTCTCTCCCTCTCTCACACACACATCAGGTATACATACATGTAAACTTATTTTAAGCTAGAACAATTAGAACAATTTTATTTCATTCGGTAGTTTTTGTTTGTTTTCAAGTACTTACATCGGAAGTGGCAACAACAAAAATAAGACGAAACAATTTTTTTTTTAATTTCATTTTATTTTAATTAAATCTATGATCATTATACTGAAAAAAAAATTAAAATTCAAGTTATTTTAAAAAATGATTTCATGTTAAAATAAATAGATGGACATGTAACAGATTTAAAAAAATAAATGAAAGTCTGGTTCAATGTAGCATCTATTTCTTATTCTATATTTTTTTTCTCTTTCACTTTGACAGCAGCTAGTTCCATGAGCTTTCAAAAATACTTTTAAAGAATATATAAATATAATACTTACAATTAAAACGTTTTTTTAACTGATGATAAGTAGATTTTAGCAAATTTGTATGAGTATGTTGATTTTGAATGGCGTTAAAAAAAAACTCCCTCCCTGGTACCTCTCTAGTATCTCGCTTGTCAGAGTCACCTCTCTTGTTTTTATTTATAGTATTTAAAAATAATATCACGTTCGTACATTTGCTAGATTTGTGAAAACTTACAAGAATACTTTTCTTTTCTGTTGGAAGAAGTGTGATCAGTTTCAAATTTTTGACAACTAAAGCATTTTACAACAAATATTTATGCACGATGTACCAATGCTTCAATGTTTACATGATCGATGTGTTGAGAATGGTGGGGCGGATCTTATACAGGAAAACGATTTCCTCTGCAATATTTTGATAATATACCCGTGTCTAACAAATAACTTCAATTTATCTATATATCAAAATCGCATTTGTTCATCCATATTCAATTATCCAGAAAATCACCTTGTCTCAAGCTTCTATACATGTATAGGAAATACATGTAGCCCAGACGTATAAAGCTACGATAACATGTAGTAAAGAAACGGGTCTCGAATAAAATTCTAAATATTTTAATTAATATCATTGGACTAGAAGATCAAGACGTGAATTAAAGATATAAATGAAAATAAATAGTTATTTCAATGTTGAGAACAACGACAAAAGTGAGCTAGACGTGTCAAAACGTAAAACACGTGGATAAAAAAATCTGCGTCGATCGACGCTCACCATCTGCAGCGTCATATCTCTCTGTTTTAGCAAAATTGCCATTAGGCCCTTTTGTCATGGGCGCAATCATATATATATATATATATATATATATATATATATATATATATATATATATATATATATATATATATATATATATATATATATATATATATATATATATATATATATTCTGAATCTGTGTTGGACATCAAAAAAGAAAAATTACATTAAAGCTCTTTTCACTAAAATCGATCAAAATATAATCTAACATAATAGTTCCTCAGATTCATTCCCCAGGATCATGAAACAGTCTTAGACGTAGGTCATGATTTTAATTATTCATAAAATGAATATTTATTTTAAACTTAAGCTTGAAAATGAAAATGAATGTCATATTTTTCTATAATAAATCTTTATTATATTGTTCAAATCTGACTTTACCCTTAGAATGCTTCATGATCCTGGAACAGGAGTCGGGGAATTAACTGGAAGTTACAGATTCCCGGTTTTTCTCAATCTCTGTAGCTCTATTTAAATTTAAAATTGAAAATTTAATGTGTCTGCAAAAACTGAGCCCATTTTTAATAATAAGTATTTGATTTCTCATTATTGAATTTAATTCAGATTTCCTTCTTTGCAGTTTGGAGAAGACATCACGATCACTTACTCATTTCCTGGTATTGAATTTGAAAAGATTTTTCCTTTTCCTTTCCCCATTTCTCTTCTGCTTTTCTTTGTAGCTTTTTCTTCCTTCTCTCTTTTCATTGTTCTGCATGCAGATACCTTCTGTAAAATTACAAATTTTATTTAGTTTTATTTCGGTTGATTTCAAGGTATGATGAGACCCACGAATTTATGTTCCCCGCGAAATGTAAAATATCATTATAAAAGTTTTTCATATGCCAAATCATATCCCCAGAACATATACTTTTTCCTCAAACCACAAAAAATTGACATCACGAAAATGTGTGATTTTACAGTATTTTTGATGTGATTGCATCAAGATTTTTGTTTCAGGGTAAAAAAATTCATTTGAAAAATCGCTGCCTAGCGCATAAAAAAAGAAAATCGATACAGAAGGCACTAGTCGTGAAAAAATATTCTTTTAACTGTGGCGTGTGTGCGGTATTTTTCTACAACAATGCAGATGTTTTCTCAGTTCAATGATTCAAAATAATTTAATATAATTTGCATTATTAATAATGGAAAATGCAGGAAGTCTTCCCTTTCTTTTACAAAAAAAGATGAAGAATATAGTTTTTTAACACTACCTGCTTTTTCTTCCTCTCTACTTTTCAGGAAAATGAGCCTCAGAGATATTAAATTTTCATCATCCACTTCCTATAAATTGTTTCTTCCCAGTAAAGCTTACAGGGAAAAATTATTTCATCTCATGAAATTTAAATTAACAAATACATAATTATAAGTGAATTAAGAAATGAATCTTATATATAATTATGTTGAATTTTCCGTCAAATTTTCTTATGATTCGTTGATCAAAAATATACGATTTATCTATTATCATGAAATGTGAAGATAACGAACAGTTATCATTTTCAAAAGTAAAATTAATCAGTTCAGATAATGAGCAGAGCCAACAGAAAACAGAAATTGGATCAGGTGGCATGGAGGAGTAAGCATCCCCTGCCGGCCAGTCTACCTGCCGTGTGCTCTTTTTTTCATGATCGGGTTAACGGAAAATATCTTGACAATTCAGTGTGAAAATAATGGCCCAACAACTTGTATGAAAAACTCTAGTCAACATTTGACCTAATCACAGATTGCATTTGCAGATAAGGTCATTGTATCGACCATAGCATTTGCGAAATGTTGACATTAAACGACATTGTTGATATTCTTGTATCAACAAATTATTTGTCAATAGCTTGCCTCTTTTTCGAAACTTGTTCGTAGGTGGAACATGATCTTGCGTATATAATTGACTGGGAGACATATTTATTATTGATCTAAAGCTGAAGCACGAAAAAAGGAAAACATGCGAATGCTCAAAGGATAAGTTTAAAATTGTTTGACGTAAATATTTATGTCGCTGAGTGAAACATAAGGAAGAAGCACTTCTTGGTCGTGTCATTACCAGCTGTTCCTGACAATAACTAAAAATGAATTACTAAATGTAGTTAATCCTGTATAATTTTACCTTGGATACGTCATGTATTTAAGTTTTACTTAGTATGCTGATATAAAGATTAAAGCGAGGCTACTCTGAATATCCCCAATAACTCTTTCTATATCACTTTATATATTCGTCTCTTTACACGAATTTTCATTACTCTTGATTTTTTTTTTAGCAATATAAATGCCTGGATCTGTAGAGGCGAAAAATGTAATTAATAAACACGAAAGACTAGCATGTCTTCAATGTGAACTCTTAATATTTCCAGTCTATTCCAATTGTTATGATATTGATTTAACCATATTTTTATTTTAAAAACCCATTAATTTCTACAAATTACCTCATTTGATTAATTAAAAAAGACCTCAAAATGGTCATATACAGACAGCTCATTAGGTGTACTGTAAAACAACACAGTGCATATAAATTATATATGTAACCTTGTTTTTGCTTTTTATATTATAATAAACTGTTTGATAAAAATGTCACAGTACACAGGTTAAAAAAATGTACAATATATTTCTGTGACACAAGTAATGATAATTCATAGCTTTCAACATTATTTTTTGTACTTTGATGATTCCTTCTCGACCGCAGCCATATCGTCACAACTCTTTTTGGCCATTTCTTCTAATGCCTTTCCTACTTCCCTCTCTGTTTTTTTCAAGGTTTTATGGCACATAGATGGAATATTAAGTACACTTAAGAGCATTAATACTTTCTTCTGGCTAATACCTGCATGAAGCATACCTATAAAATATACACAATTTTGTAGACTGTTACTTTTACAACATATTTACATTTAAATTATTGTAATTTATTATATCTTTAGTGCTTCAACTAGTAGACCATTCAAATATCATATAAAAATATGTCCTCAGAGTAGAACTGCATGCACTTAATTGTTGTTTGTAGTACATGTACATATAAAATTTAATTATCTATACAATGCCTACCAAGAGCCAGTTTTGTGTTGACATCAAATGCTCTAGATGGATGGTCACTGTCTATGCGAGAGTGTCTCTTTCCAGTTGGAACTGATACCACCATATCACAATTCACACATTTCATTTGTAACATTGATGCCAGTCCATATCTGATCTCGCCACATCAAAGGATGTCTGCAGAATTCACAGCCTTCAATCAGCTTCTCAATGACATACTGAATTTCAATATCCTTCTTCCTTCGTTCCACTTTATCGTTACATCATCATCAGTGTCTTCAAAAGCTATCTCCATTTCCTCTTCTTCGATGTTTGATGGTACTGACATACAATAATCATGCTCAAAAGGTACACACTGGCAAATCGATGGAGTGAGAAGTCTCAGACAGAGAAAGAACTTCATCATCGTGACCTTTAATAAATTAAATGCACAGTTATACAATAATATGCAGGATATACACGAAGTCGTTTATAAATCTGTATCATACAGGTACAGATACAGATACATACAATATGTCATTGAGAATATAAAATATTTGTTCTTGTCTAAAATCAATTGAGAAAACAAATTGTGCAAAATCATGTTTTCCTTTGAGGGATTTTTTTCCCTATATACTGTTTGATAAAATAACCTTGATTTATTGTCAAATGAAGAATCCATTTAAAATGAAATTAAGAATTTTATAATTATTATTGACAAGATAGACTTATGATTATCTTATTCCGATATTATTATCTTTACTTCGGTACTAGTGAGTACATAACATTATTGAACGTTTATACAATGCAAAGCTAATGACAACTGATTTACTGACGAAAGTATCAGCCTGAAAAATTTGCTTTATATCTGTAATAATTCAAAACCATATTCCTGCAAATAAAAAAAACCCCTCGTTTTTCATATTTATTTTTTGTAATCTTTAAGTGAAGTCATCTTTCTTAAACCTTGTCAATTATTCATGTAAAATTCCTTTTAAAAATTGTTTTCACGTGTGGTAAAACGTACAAAATATAACAGATTATTATTCGAGAGAATTTATTGAATTTTGCCCGAGGATCCAAATATTGACACAAAGTGCTCAAAGATAAGTGTTGTTTTTCTGGAAAGAAATGTTTTCCACGTACGTAATATAACTGGGGAATTAGCTCAAGTGGTAGAGCACTCGCTTAGCATGTGAGAGGTACCCGGATCGATACCCGGATTCTCCACTTTTTGATTCATGTCTCTGAGCAACGAACCGTAACTTATGAGAATAGAAATCTTTGTAACTATTTAAAAAACAATTTCTGTGAAAACTTAACATTTATTGAAAATATTGACATCATCCAGGAAAATTGTATATTATTTTATTTATCTCCAAATTTTTGTTTTTAATTTGACACCTGCTTCCCAAAATTCTTACAGAAATTTTGAAAATTAAACAATCATTATTAAATATTTATTCTTGTCTAAAAAAGCAATTATGAGAAAAAAATGCGCAACATGTTTTCTCTTGAGAGATTTTTATTTATAGTTTACTGTTTAAAATAAAATTTCAAATAACCTTGAACTATGGTCAAATGAAGACCTTAATTTTGATTATCATTGACAAGACAGACGTATGATTTGTATATAATGCGATATCCATATCCCGACTTTATTCTTACACCTTTACTTTGGTACTGCTTGTAAGTACATTTATTAATGAAAGTTAATCAGGCGCGGATCCAGGACCTTTTGCCAGGGCGGGGTTGTCCACCCCAGCACTCCAGTCATAAAAAATTTCCTACCCAAAAATTTCTTGACAAGCCCAAAAAAAAAAAGTAAATAAATAAATAAATAAAAAAAAATAAAAAATAAAAATTAAAAAAACCAACAAAAACTAACCAAAAAAAAAAAAAAAAAAAAAAAAAACAAACAAAAAAAAAAGAAAAAAACCAAACAAACAAACAAAACAAACAAAACAAGATGTGTTTGTGAAACACTGATGCCCCCGTATGGCAGCTAATGACGAAAGTTAAAGTTTCTCAAATGCAAGTCAAACTCCATGTCAAGAGATCAAAAATGTTAGTATCCAAAGAAAGGTCTTGCTTGAGGAATATACCTGTGAAATATGAAAGCCCTAGCACCAACCGTTAAAAATTATGGCAAAGGTTAAAGATTTTAGAAAGTGAGCAAAACGTCAGGGTTAAGGTCAAATGGTGCCCAAGGAAAGGTCTTAATATGTGAAATGTGAAAATCCTAGAACAAACTGTTCAAATGTTATGGGAAAGGTTACAGTTTTTTAAAAGTAGGTTAGATTCCAAGGTCAAAGGTTCAAAGTTGTTGATATCTAAAGGAAGGTCTTGTCACAAGGAATAAACCTGAGAAGTTTTAAAGCCCAAGTTCCAACTGTTCAAAAGTTATAGCCAAGGTTAAATTCTCATAAAAATTTGCAAAAATGGGTCAAACCCCAAGGCCAAGGTCAAAAAGTCAAATATAATGTTGGTATCCAAGAAAGGTTCTTGTCACAAGAAATACACATGTGAAGTATGAAAACCCTAGCACTAACTGTCATGATCGGGAAATCACCGAAAAATCCGTTGACAATTCAATGTGTAAATAATGGTCTAACAATTAGTATGAAAAACGTCAATCAGCATTTGACTTAATGATAGATTGTATTTGCTGACAGGGTCATTGTATCGATCATAGAACTTACGAAATGATGACTGCTGATATTCATGTTTCACCAACCTGTTTGTCAATAACTTACCTCGTTTAAGAAATTCATACGTAGAGCATGCTCTTGCGTATCGAATCAACTGAGAGATATAAACCCCGTATGCAGGTGATAAGGGTATATTCAGAGTACTTGTGTGTACAATCAGATTGTTTTTTTACCAAGTGATTTGCAAATGACTGTAATATTATAGGACTTAATGCTCTACTGTGTAATACATGTATATGAATATATATATTTCAGCTTATTGTTACATTATAATGGTTTGTCACCATGTAATATGTAGGGGGTGAACTTAGAATATTACCTATTATTCACAAGCTTGTGGATTTTGTTACAGTGATGTAAAGTAGCATCCAATTGTAAATTTTATTAGAAATGATTTATTGTTTATGGCCATTAACTATCTTTTTGATTACTTAGATTATTGATGCAATACACATTGCACTTCGACGTTGTTATGTAAACAAATGTTGCTATTGTTTTACTAGACGGTCTAGTGAGATATTGTTAAACAGACAGTAAGGGACAGTGATACTAAGATGTTATATGTCAGTTTTTCATCATTATCTACTACATTATCTACGACTGTAATTTACTTACTTATTTTGACATTATCACACATGTTGTAAATTGGGCGCCTGTCATCTTTCTTACGAAGAAAATAGTCAAGTGACATAAACATTATCGTTTTACAATTGTTAAGATCAAAATAACACTGTCCATGTCATTAAATACTTATAATTGATACCTGAATGTGATTAAATAATGTTTTATTTGATGAAAGGTTTTGGAACTTGAATGTGTAGCGTAAGACTGATGTGTACGTATTATTGTTATGTATTATAACTCCGTGGGTTGTGTGTGTCCGTTTTATTACAGATTGTTTGTTGAACTTATTTTTTTATGCACATCATTTAGAATTTATAGCTATTGCCTTACATGTAGATAGGACATTTCTAGCGCTATTATTTTCTTTGTATTACACAAATTGTACGTAAAGTAGTTCTGAGAGGCTCATGGAAGGACAATTATTCATTGGTTTATTTTGATCACGTGACCATTTTAAGACGTCTATTCGGTTCCTGTTGTAAGGGTGTGACTCTATTGATTATATTGTAAAAATTCATTAATGTTTTGAAATTCCTCTTCTGTGCTCCTGGGCATCTAGGAAGGAAACAGAGTAATAATTGTAATAAGCAAGAGTTGTTTAACAGTTTTATGAAATTCTAGATCACTGTGTCAAGTGTTCCGGTGCTGAGCAGGGCTCCATTTATCTTGTAGTGAAATTTGTACTCAACTGATAGAAGTTAAACCTCTTTCCTATTCATCTATTATAATTAATCACTGTAAAAATATAACTGATACGTCGATTGAATGAAAAAAAAATTACATTAATTTTTAATGTATAGTACAAAAAAGTACTTTCAAGTTTTAATGATGTAGACTTGTAAATGATAGGTAAATGAGAGATTAGACCAAAGAATTTTATCTTTATACATTAAATGTTCTTCACCGACATAGAGAGGCCAATCTGAGAGGGATTTGCTTTACCACAAATGTTAAGCAATCTAGTTTTAAGTTAATACACTTATGTAGATAGTGACAATAGGAAATATTTTTGCATTGACAAGTAATTAATTCTACTTTGTAATTTGATACTGAGTACTAGACTACCTATTTGTTGATCCCTGATCATCCTATTTCTCTTGCTAATGGGTAACATATCTTCATCTATCAGTTTTGGTTTTTTTGTATTATATACTTCTATGGATCCTTTACAGTGTAGTGTTGTATTATACTCAGGTAACCTTTAATTCCCTTGAGCCTATTGTTTATGACACGCGTGTCTGCAGTTGCTCACAAAATGACGTGGTACCTATATCTAATTATCAAGGCACGCACATCATCATATTATTTATTTATGCGTAAAATGTCAGTTATTTTACGTTTATGTATAATTCTGCATGACGCTAGGTATTAAGAATTAATACATCTTCAAAAAATTTAATTCACCAACAGAATTGAGGAATAGATATAAGTTAATATATAGATAAAATTTTCATTAATATATAATATATATATATATATATATATATATATATATATATATATATATATATATATATATATATATATATATATATATATATATATAAACTTTATCTATATATTTACTTATATCTATTGCTCAATTCTGTTGGGTGAATTAATTTTTTTTTATATGAAAACTTTTGCTGTCAAGCTAGTCGTCGTTTTCGTATATACGCATGTCGGCTTATGCATGTCTTCTTTTAACATCATTAAAGTAGACATTAACCATCTTTCCTATGGTTTTTTTTTTTTTTTTTTTTTTGTTTTTTTTTTGTTGTTGTTTAACGTCCCTCTCGAAAATTGTTCACTCATATGGAGACGCCACCACTTGCTGGTGGAGAGCTGCAAATTT